GCATTTTAGTATGGCAACGAGCCGCGGAAATGCACCCTCGCATATGACCTTGTTGTGGTGCGAGAGCTCATCCTGGTCATCGTCTCGAGACCGCTGTCGGCGCTGGGGCGGCCGAACCTGAGTGTCGGCTCGGAGTGCTAACAGTGTCCTGTACGCAGCTCTTCGTTAAATAGGAGGGCTGCATACACTCTACACAAGAATTTATTTTCGGTGCACCTTCGGTGCGTATCTGGTTATGTTTTGAGCACGGGTTTGACATACCTGCGGACTCGAGTTCCCATACTTATGCATCGCACTTAACATCTGGAGGTCCCGTCTCCTTACCTTGCAAGAAGTAATCGGGGTTCTCCTGCAGCATAGGCTGAACGCACAGGACTGCATCTAAAATCCTGTACGACGAGTTGGACTTCTATAGAAGTCCCCCTATCCTCTGGCATTGGTTGGATTGATAGGGAGCTGAGGGAAATCTCTGACCTCTCCATGCCAAGGAGATCTGCTTTTAGCAAGCTTTCGGCATATTGGAGAAGATCTCCGAATTGCGTGCCGTATCAGTATTGTAGGCGCCTCATACGCATTCGCAGACGATCGAGACCGAATCTGAACCATGTACTTTGGTCCGAGTTTCGTATTGCAAGAAGAAGTCTCAAGAGGGCTATATGGCGTTCGAAGTCGTCTTTGGAGAGATCTCCTGGAGATTCTGGAGGTCGACCTTTGGGGCCCCCTATAGGGCCATAATGAATAGACTTCACCCGAGTTCCTCATCTGTAATGATGGCTCTCGTTTCGGGGGGGGGGGATTATCTCCGAAATAATGGATGTTTTGTTTCCACAGATGCCAGCTGATGAAAATCGGCCCGAGCAAAGCACTCCTTTTGTGTCTGTTAAATGAGGTAAATTATACGAAAGGATCTTGTGTCACCGTTTACAGCAGCACTTGGATTCTGCTAGTGGAATATCGAGCAATCAATTCAGTTTTCGCATCAGTCGTCCACTTGATTAATGCGATATGAGGGAGTTGGTAAACGATGACGTGCGGAATGGGGATGTGATGTTGGCGGTGTCGTCGGACATCATCAATGCTTTTAACTCCCTTGCGTGGTCAGTTATTCGCTTGCCTTTGAAGGCCAAGGGTGTCCCGGAGTATTTGAAATGTACTCTTGGGGACTACTTATCTGATAGATACCTTGTCTATGTCGATCGGGATGATCTGTTGATTAGATCAACCATGACGTACGGTGTTCCTAAGGGTTTGATCTTAGAGCCGACCCTCTGGAATGTCGACTACGATCTGATCTTGCGTCTGGAGCTACTGATGGACTGCTCCACCGTATGTTACGCTGACGACATTTTGCTGGTGGCGAGGGGTCCCTCATTTGAGAAGGCCTTTGTGCGTGCGGAGCTGACCATAATGGCAAGTGGCCATAATAATTAGAGCCATTGAGAAGTTTAGTATTACGATGTCGGTTAATAAGATTGAAGTGATCGCTTCCATGAGCAATGATATTCTGGATACCTCCCTTCGAGTCGGAGGGAAGGCGATGGTCCCTCTTGGGACTATCTTGAAATACCTAGGATTAGTCCTGGATTTGAGTTGGACTTTTCGGGATCACTTTCGCCTCCTTCTTCCTAACTTTGGGGATGGCTGGAGCTCTGAGTAAGCTGACAGCCAATATTGGCGAACCTGGTGAAAACAGACATCGCGTATACACGTCCATAGTCATGTCGATCGTCTTATACGGTGCCCCGATTTAGACGCAAACTATGGCGGGTGACCGACATATGTATCGTAGGGTGGGGCGGCATAGTTCCAGCGGCGGCTTTCGCTCAGTATGATTCGGGGATATCGCACGGTCTCCCACGAGGCGGCGGCTATTTTAATGAGATCCTGCCCTTTAGATTTCTGGCGGATCGTCTAAGACATATCTATTGGCGTAAATGGTTGATGCTTCGGAGGGATAGCTTTATTCTTCCGAAGATTCAAGTCCTTCTGCGCAAGGTCGAGCAGCATCGTTCTTTGGCGCGTTGACGTCAGCATCTGTTCAGTCTTCCTTTGAAGGCGCCTGGTATGGCAGTCCGCAATGTCCTTGCTAATTGGATTGAAGAATGGATGAGTCGGCCTCACGTATCGCATGACTCAGATCTTAATTGGGTGCTTTGAGGTTTGTTTTTTAGATTGACCGTGCGAGCTCTCATTGTATGTGCTCATTGTATGGTGGCGATCCACACTTTTTTTTTGCCCTTCTTGGGTTGTTGAGCGTGAAGAGCTGTTCGAGACAACTTAACGTTCCGATAGAACTTGTGCAGTGGTGGGGGCTGCTTTGAAATCCTCACGTTGTTGGACGACTCTTGTAGAGATAATTTTTGTGAGACAATCATATGGAGGAAGGAACTGGCTGAACGTCAGAGTTTGGAGAGGCGGCAGGTTCTCTCTGCTTTTAGTGCTTCGGACGAATAGGATTAAATGTACATAGTTGGTCTATTCTTTTTTCGTGTACATCGTTGAGAGCTCGAACGGGCTCTTCCAATGGGGAGAATGCCTGCTTGACTGGATGAGCGTCCTTGGTCAGTGGGGCCCGGGCTTGATAAAGCTCTGGGTGGAAGTCCGATGTCCGACCGTTCTTTGGATTTTTTTTGGGGTGTAAATTTTGTGTGGAATGAATAGTGTGTAGGACACAAACTATTGCGATGGAAACTAGGTTCCACGACCTTAAATGCATCCTGATGAAATGTCGGGTAGGCGGTTCCGGGGTGCACCTATGTGCATACCTACGTCTGGTTGTAATGCAGTATAAGAAAAGTTTTTTAGCAGGTAGGCGAAGTGTCTGTTATCCTCTTTTGGATACAGGCGCCTCGAATCCTATACCCTCTGAGTGTCTTCTCATCATCCGGTTAAGTTTTCTCTCCTATGAGAGAACCCCGGATGATGGGCTAAGTGATTTTTCTTCTCCTTTCGCAAAAAAAACCGTGGAAATGCAAGACTGCAGATTTAGCGAATGACGTCCGTCGCCGGGCATGACCATATATGGTCATATCAATCACCAAAAGGCGTGAAATAAGACACTCGCGACGCGCGTAACGTGCCTGTAGATTCGTTTTTTGTGCGAGACTCTGCGGTCGGCGATTAGATAGCTGAATATAAAGAAGTGCGCGTTGTCTTATTACCGCGCCTTTTGATGATGCACGTTTGATGTAACGGAATGGAGATGCAATTTATTAGTACAACTGATGAGTTTTTTTAGATTCAATGAATATAGAATGCAGTTCATAACATAAATGATTATTTGTATTTAGATTTTATCAATCTTTGAATTGTAAGAAGAGTGTTTTCATACAATATAATCGAATGGAGAATTACTCGAGGTTTACTGATTGCACCTACATTCATAATTATAGCATTCAATTTTGAATTTTTTGATGTAATACATTGAAGGCTGAAAAAAAGCAGCCAAAACGTCGGAATTGTATGTATAAAGGAAGAATAAAGAAGAAATGTCAACGCACATTTATAACAACTGTGTATTAGCTCTTAGTTGCTTGATTTTATTGTAATATTACTTTAATATCGAGAGCTCAAAAACTTATACTGCTGAATACTTTAAAAAATTACAATAGTATTGCAGTTAAATCTAATAATTTTCATAATAATGCATACAAAAGAACTTCGAACTTAAATACTTATGTCATATACTTAATTATAATCTGCACGCCGTATTACTCGTTCGCACGTATTCAGATTGATTATACTTGGATTTGATTATACTTACTCTGTATTTTGTTTCTAAAATTCTATTAATCCTATACGTAGGCTGCTGGAAAAGTTTCTGCAAACAATATGAAAAAAAACATGTAAAATTCGGTAAATGGCTTTATTGTTTTTCGAAGTATTCGCCTTTAAGATCGATACATTTTTTCATACGCTGGAATCAATTTTCGAAGCATTTTTTCCACTCTAAGGCTAACCTCAGAAATTAGTATACGAAATGTTTCAACAGCTGCTTTAGGCGACTCAAATCGCTCACCACGCATCTTATTTTTAATGTTTGGGAACAAAAAGAAGTCATTAGGTGATAAATCAGGTGAATACGAACAATCAGTTATCAATTCGACATTATTACTGGATAAAAAATCAACGATTTGACGTACTGTGTGTCAGCTGGCATTGTCATAATGAAGGATGATGCGACGATTTCGGTTTGTTCTACGCAATTCATTTATGACTTCTGGCAAACAAAGGTTGTTGTAAATACCAATCAGTATTTACAGTCCTTCGATCCTCTGAAGCCACGGTTGTCACGGTTGTATATATTATATTGTATATATTGTATGTCCAGTATAACCGAAGAAATGATTTGCTTGGCAGCATTGCGTGAACGAACAACTTTTGTTGGTTTCGGTTCATTTTGAAATACCCAAACAGTGGATTGTTGTTTACTTTCGGGCTCATACGAATAGATCCATGTTTCGTCCCCAGTAACGATGTTGCAGACCAAATTTGACCTTGGTTGAATTTCTTTGCTCCATTTAACACGAGCCTGTTTTTGAGCTTCGGTCAAATTGTGTGGGATTCAACGACTGCAAAGTTTCCGTACGCTCAGTGATAATGCAAAATCGTATGTATTGCTTTCATGTCAATGCCTAAGGATGCCTGAATCTCGCGGTATGTTATATGCCGATCTCGCTCAATCATTTCACGCACAGCATCAACATTAGTGACAACAACAGACGTGGATGGACGACCTTCACGAAATTCATCACTAAGAAAGGTATGTCCATGCTGGAATTCGGTAAACCAATTATAAACAGTCCTATTGAATGGTGCTTCATCCCCAAAAGGCAAATGAAGTCGACCGATGCATTGTTTCGGAGTTAGATTACATTTGTAATCGTAAAAAATCATTGCCTGAAAATTTTCACGCGAAATTTCCATTTTCTTATAAAATAACTTCTTTTAAAATACTATGCAAACAAAATTAGTTGGCTTGGGTACAAACTGTCAATTGAATTATAGATTAAAAACATCTAATTTTACGGACATGATAGCAGAACGTTGGCGCCACTGGAAGTACTACATTGCAGAAACTTTTCCAGCAGCCTACGTATATTATAGACATTATTTTACTCGTTCACACGTAGTCACATTGATTATATTTACTTCTATCATATTTTGTTTTTAAAATTCTTTTAATCCTATATATTATAGATATTTTTTATGCCTTAACACGTACTTACGTTACTGTATTTATGTTTTAGTATTTTATTATTAAATTTTTCTAGTCACTATAATCAGAGTCGAGACATGAACGATTCACTCTCGGGATTGGTCAGCGTTATGTTTGAGATCGTGCGATGCGTTAGTGAAAACGAAAGTTTGTATAAACGTATTGTGTTAGTAAAAACGTGAGTTTATGTAACGTATGTGTGAGTTATATAAACGACGTCCCAGTAATGGCGTCCTTCCGGTCTCATGTCTCGACTCTTTTTGTAATAACTCTACATTTTTAGGTTCAGCAACGGCAAGTGTTTTTATATGAAAATTTTTTGTTTAAATTTTTTAATTTTGTTCTGTTACGTCCTTAATTTTCTGTAATAACTTGGGTTGAAAAGATAACGTAATTTGGATTTTATTTTTTAATTTTGTACAACAGAGTTTTGTTGAAGGTTTATATACGATTTGGATTGAGATAACAATTTTTAAAAATTATAATGTAGCATCAATTATTAATATCAGATCTTTTACATACCTAATATGTATTGTCCAAATTAAGTAAAATTTTTATTTTATTACTTTAATAAATAAAAATACGAGTACGTATCACTTAGGTTTCATTATATATTTTAAGTTAATAAATTTTGTTTGCAAAGCATGTATCTACAGCGTTTTTTTATCTTTTTTTAATAAGGTAAATGTATACTGATCTCATTTTGTAGTGTTTAACGTCATCTTATAAACAGTTTATGAATTAATCAATTTAGTACACACTTTTTCCTAAAGAACTGAAGAATATGCACTCTTAACACCTTTTTCTACTCTTTTTTTAAAAGGGTAAATTTTGTACTGATTTCCTAACCTCAATAGTCGTCAACTTTAACACTTAATATTTCGGTTCGTGGAGCAGATCGACGCTCTTTTCTAAAATCTGTATTTTTATGCGAAAACGCATCGATTGAGTCTATTTTTATCAAAATTTGAGATAATCGGAGTAATCTCAACCTTTACTATAAAAAACATTCAAGTTTTGTAAAACATGTCCGCTTAATAATAAAATTCCAACAATTTCTTATTCGAAGGCCCGTACCGTTGTACCAACGTTACACAATCAGACCTTAATTATTTAAATTTTAACAGACATGCAAATTTCCATAAGTACCGACCATCTTTAGTAGTATTACTGGATACACACTGGATCCGATGTGAGTCGTGCGATGCTCTAT